GGTGTAAACGCATGCACAGAAACCGCTTATTCTCAACTTGATGAACATATCGGCACTGAATTGTACTCAGAACACAAATCTGGTGCAAAGAGAAATCAATACAAGGTAGAATTTTAAAGCAGAACCAGTAGGTTCACTAGAAAGAAATAAATACTGTTGGTCTCATTTGCCAGGAACACCTGGAATTATTTTCCGTCTCTTGAATAGCTCTTAGCACATCAATTGTTAGAACGATTAGTTCTTTGCCTCAAGTGTGCTCAGAAAAGACAAACAGTCTTTTTTCATTTTTCAGGACTCAGACTGAATGGTGGGGCAAATAATAAGTTTCAAAATAAGACACGGAGTTGACAGACACCTATGTCTCCAGCACGTATTTTAATCTTTCGCACTTAACCCATCTGACATGAATCATTTTCAAGCTGAGAGCGGTACAGGTAAGGCTTTGACACAATTTGCACCTGAAAAACTATTTTTGGGTCCAAGTGACAAGGAGCTGGGAATGACTCATAAGTGCACTCCGCCTTGCCTGTGAGCTCGCTGAAACTTAAAGCAGCAGGCGGCGTGTCCAGCTGTGTCTGGAGGCAGGCACAGGGTTAGGAGGGACAGGGAGACACCGGTGATCGAGGGAGGCATCCGGGTCTCCATTCACAGGTCCTCTCCATTCTCTGCCTCCATCTTCTGCTCCCTGCCCTGGAACCCCTGCCCTCCTGGGCCAGACCTTGACCAGAGTCTTTGCAGCTGGAGAAACTCCCCACACACACTGGGAAGCTTTTTCTGATTTCTCGGTTGATGTCCACTCCTCCTTTCTGGCCTTCCTCCCTGGCACTTCTCTTGTGGTCTTTATTATGAGAGCGGTGGTGATCCCTGCCCCCTCCTGGCTCTCTTCTGCCCCGGCCCAGCAGCTGATGCCGGTGGACAGAAGAGTTCAGAATCTCCTGTAGAAACCCTGGTCTGACATCTGTCCAGTTCAGGATGTGTCTTTGCCTCAGCTTAAAAGAATAAAAAGTTAAAACTACCAAAAGGCTTTGCTTACTTCCCCACCTTCTGACTCTTGCTGCCCAAACAAACTAAGCTAGCTCACCTCATAGGCCTCTAAGGGTTCTGACCACTGGAGAGCCACAGTAAAAAAGCAATCTGATAAATGCTTGGAATGAAAAACTACAGACATTGCTAGATGGACACAACAAGTCTTTCATTGGCTCTGCACCCTCTGCCTGCAGTACCCATCCTAGTACAATGTACTTTTCTACTCTGTTCCTTGGTGCTTTCACTTTAAAATGATACTATCTGCTCATCTTGATTCATGTTTAAGCTTCTTATTCCTGTTTACTAAAGAAAAATGACTCATCCAAAGTGAAAAAAGGGACTTAGCTTTTAGAAATAGTTTCCCACCTTCAGTCTTGAGTATTTCTTCTGTTGGTTTAGTGAGAAATGGCATTTTTCCTATTTTTTTTAATATAAAAGAGAATAATTTTGCTTGTGGCAAAAGATGGTTGTTGATATTTTGTGCTTCTTGATCTCTCAAGATTCTGTGCACAATCCTGTGGGTCTGAGAAATGCAGCAGCACCGGTTACCGTGTGCCTTCCCCTGCCAGACCTCATGGCAGACGGGACGGGCACCTTGTATCCATCAGCCTCGCCGACAGGTATCATTTATCCCACTTAGCAGAGGGGGAAACTAGGGCTCGAAAGGTTTAAGAGACTTCCCTGCAGCTAGTGAGTGGAAGGAGCTTGCTGTCAACCTCAGGCCTGTCTGCCTCCCAAAGCTGTGCCCTTGGACTGCTGCTACCGCCATGGACATCTCCGTGGCTGGGAAGGGGGGCCGATGTGGACATGAGCCAGAAAGGAAGGGAGGAAAGAACACCCGCTCCTGCCCTCCTCACCACCTCCCGCCCATAGGATGCCAGGTCCCCAGGCTGCTTTCATAACAAAACCTCCTTCCTGCTGCCAGGGCAGAAGCTGTGTGCCCTGCTGGGAGAAGCTGTATTAGCAGTACGTGCTGTGCCAGAGGATAAAACGGTGAGGAGGAGTAAGAGGCAGGAAGATGTTCTGAAAACTCTGTGAGAAGCAGGCATTCATGAAACATAAAATAATAGGCCCCATAAATCCAGCTTGTGGCCGTGACAATGAAAGCTCTTTGTTTGGTAAGATTCTCTAAGGGGCTATCCACATTTGACTGCACCCTCCTTCGTGAAAAATAGTTATGCTAATGTCTTCCTAAGGAGATGAGACTACAGAAAAATAACAACCCAGTCATCACCCGATTCTATAAAAATCAGACTGTCTTGAAGAAGCCTGAGCCCACCTCTGGGCTTGCCTACAGAAGGGCACAAATCCTTCCGACCATGAAGACCCCCTGAATGTGACACAGACAACTTCCTACAATCCCCACCCTCAAGGGAAGGGACCCCTCTCGGGACACGCTTAAACATGTTTATACAGACATAGGATCTCGATGCAGGAAGCGCCACTAGTGTTTACTGAGCATCTACTATGTCCCAGGCAGTGACCAAAATGAACAATATGTGGAGCTCACATATATGGCAATGAATAAGTTAAATAAAAAAATGTCTAGTATGATAAGTACAGGTGCTAAAAGGAAAAGGCGAGCAAGGGTTTAGAATGGTGGACTTTATTGTTGACTTCAAAAAGAAGAGTTTTGGTAAAGTGATTGGCAGGGTTCAGGACAGAATGAGAAGGCACTGGAGACGGTGTTGACGGCTTATTTCAGGAGGTTTAAGATGTGGTGATAGCTGGAGGGGTGAGCAGGATCGAGAGAGAGCTTTATTTTTAAGATAGAAGAAATCGCAATATATGTGTATGTTGTTAAGAATAATACAGTAGAAAGAGAAAAATGCATATGATGCAGGAAAGACTTCATACTAATAGGAATAAAAACAAGAATTAAAAGCTTGAACACGGTGGTAAATAATGGCTTCTGGTGTCAGAAGATTGTGTGGGACTTTTCATGACTGCCTTGTGACAGCGGAAGAGGACGTTGTAGATGATACCAGCTCTATAGGAAGGTCAAGGCAGTACCTGTACGGACCCCTTGGAGCTTGAGGGTGGGCACGGACAGAGAGCATCTGGCTGGTGCTGAAACATGAAAAGAAAAACAGTGATGTGACCCTGGCCAGAGTGGCTCAGTTGGCTGGGCATCATCCAGTGCACCAAAAGGTTGCTGGCTTGATTCCTGGTCAGGGCACATGCTTAGGTTGCCAGCTCCATCCCTAGAGGGAGGGGGGGGGGGTTGTCATGCAAGAGACAATGCTTCTCACACATTGATGTCTCTCTCTCTCTCCCTCTCCTTTCCCCCCCCTCTCTTTAAAAATCAATTTTAAAAAAATCTTAAAAGAAAGAAAAGGAATGATGTTGTTGTGGGAATGTGTACTAGACCCAGTGAATCAGTAATTGCCGTCTAGTAGATTCTAAACCAGGGGTGGGCAAACTTTTTGACTTGAGGGCCACAATGGGTTCTTAAACTGGACCGGAGGGCCGGAACAAAAGCATGGATGGAGTGTTTGTGTGAACTAATATAAATTCAAAGTAAACATCATTACATAAAAGGGTACGGTCTTTTTTTTTTTAGTTTTATTCATTTCAAACGGGCCGTAGTTTGCCCACGGCTGTTCTAAACTGTCATTGAGGCAAAACCTAACAGTGACAGGAAGCAGCAACTCTCCATTTCCTTCTTCTTCTGCCAGCAGCAAATCATCTGATGAATTTTAAGTTTATCTCCCACAAGTCTGAGGAAGAATGTATTGCTTCTGTGAATTTAAAGTTTACCAACAGGGAAGCAGAGACCCTAGGAGAAAACAGCCAAGAATTTGTAGAGTATATAATAGCTCAGGAAGGGAATTCAATCATTCGGCAAGTAGCAGTCAAGTGCCTCCCATGTGCCGGGCACTGCTGTGGGCACTGGAGATAGGGATGTGAATGAAACAGACCACGTGGCATTCACAACATGCCATCGAGTAGACAGCAGGTTCCGAGGGACGGTGGTGAGAGTCTGTGGCTGGATTCTAAGGAACAAAGGCGAGGAGCACCCAAGTAGGAAGTGGGAGGATGCTCACTCACAACCTTTTCAATGGAGAGACAGCGGGCAAGGTGTCTGAGAGAAACAGATGATAGAGGACCTAGTGGGGTAAGTTAACAACGTGGAAAGGAGAGAGATAGGTCCCAGAGACCATGGAAGAGAGACTATAAGGAAGGGACTAGTGTGGCTACAGCCTCCAGGTTGTGGGCTCAGACAGTCCGATTCCCCACCCTGGCTTGTTCCACCTTTTACTACTTGAAGGTCTCTCTGACCTTCAGGTTCCTTACCTGTGCCATGAGGATGACACTGGGACCTATCTTAGCACAGGGGACCATACATATTAGCCACTGTTCCTTCCGATGAGCTGGCAAAAGGACTATTGCTGACTGATTTAAGGAAGAATTTTTGAACAATTGAAAGTGTCCCTACTGGAATTAACCCCTTTGTCAAGAGTGAGCTTTTTATCACAGGAAGGGCTTGTGTAGACACAGGCTTACCATCTGTCCAAGAAATGTTAGAGGGGATTCCTATAATGGGTGGGAGGGTGTGGCAGATAAATGTCAAGTTTCTTTCCAAAAAGTTCTGTGTATCTTTGGAACTTTTCTCGCTGCCCAGGTTTAAAGCAAGAAGAAAGGAACACGAGGACAGAGAAGACATGAAGATAGAATGTGAAGACAGGAGAGTTGAAGATAAATTGTAATGTTATTACGCACAGAAAGCATAGGATAGTATCAGAAAGTGGCAAGAAGGTTTTTGATAAGTGGATCAAGTCTCCCAAGAAATAGACAGCAGAGAGGAAGGCATAAGCATAGTGGGCGAGATGGATGTGAAAGAGAAAGGAAGAGGGAGCAGGAAATCTCCTCAGTGAGGACCACAGACACCCAGCTGTACGCAGGTAGGCTGCCCACCTTCCTTCCCGCACTGCTCCAGCAGTCCCGGGTCTGTGCCACGGTTGATCCCTTACATTCTTTTTGCTCTGAAATTCTTGTGCTTCTTATACAGCATGTTTCTGTGTATAGAATGTGTAGAGTTCTTCAAGCAACGCACAGACTCTTAAACTGTCCAACGAGTTTAAGGGCTGACTCAGGAAATCATCACGCAGAAGCCATTCATCGATCTACAGGGCAACAAAGGGTGGTTGATACCTGGAGGTCAGAGGCAGCTGGATGGTTAATACAGTCAATGTGTTAAGTGTTATATCTGTATACGTGTCAGCCTTTTTTGAGATCATGTCATCTCCAATTCTTTTTAAAAAAATATATTTTTATTGATTTCAGAGAGGAAGGGAGAAGGGAAAAAGAGACAGAAACTTCAATGATGAGAGAAAATCATTGATTGGCTGCCTCCTGCACACCCCCCACTGGGGATCGAGCCCACAACCTGGGATGTGCTCTTGAGCAGAATTGAACCCAGGGCCCTTCAGTCCACAGGTTGACACTCTATCCACTGAGCCCAACCGGTTAAGGCCCCAATTCTTTAGGAAACATTTGGCCAACAACTGCAGTGCAGTAATAGTTATTAACCTGCAGTCAGGACCTCATATGCTCACGACAGAAGGCTGCTGGCTCCAAACGGAGATATGTCGCCAGAAGCCACTTTGGATGCAATGCCTGCATCTCCAAATGAACGTTTTGATTCATGTAATTTCCTCCTCCATTAGCTTAGAGGGACTCTAATTCTTCTGTGACATTCTTTTTTCTTTATTGATTTCTAGAGGGAAGAGATTGGATTTTTCTCTTTTGTTTAATAGCTTTAAAGATAGACGGAGGCTTTTAAACCTTCATCTGTTTTACTTACTAAGGCACCCCAGGATCACTCCAATCGTTTCTAAAACTCAAGGAGGTTAGAGCCTTCCTGTGTTTACAAGAATAGCTAGAAAAACATTTCAATAAATGAAGCCAATATATATATGAAGACTAAATTACCCCTTTTATCAAGCCACAATTGACCATTAAAATAAAATTTATCTTAAGGAGACACTGGAAAAAAGAAGAAGCTATATTTAAAAAGCTATTGTCCCCCTCAGAAAACATTTCAGTAATCCACTGCTAGCCTTTGGACAAAGAACTACTCAGTATTCAACTTCTCATTTTTCAATGCCAGCTTTTTCAAACATTATGATAAACACTCTAAAGTGACCTACTTCTCCTGACACCTAAGAAAAGTGATGTGTCATTGCAAACCCATTCCTCCCACTTGCAGGGAGGAGAGAATACTTCCAGAGTCATCCTTCTCTGACAGATGGGAAAGGCTCTTTTAAATGAAAATTCCAAAAAAAAAGAAATTCTGACAAGTATCTATCACATGTTCCCTCACAGCTGGACAATTTAGTATCACCTATGGATTCAGCTCGCTCCCTGGAATTGGAAGGTTCTGGTAGTCTGGGAATACTCAAATCAAAGCTTTGCAGGGAACTAGGTAGTGAAGTGATATAAGGATTGCAGTGATTTTTCAAAAAGCAGCATTATCTGAGGGAGGACGTGGTGTGAGTCCCTGCAGAAACTAATGAAGATACCAAGACCTCAGAGGGGCGGGAACACTGAATGCATGCAGGGCTCAAGGTGGTCTATGTTTGCTGCCTGCTTCCCTATCTCCTAGCTCTGTGATGTTGGGCAGGTAAATTCCCCAATGTGCTTCCAGTTTCCCACGTGTTAAATGGGAATAATAACAGCACTTTCCTCACAGGATGGTGTAACGCTTACATGTCACTGGATGGAAGGCACTGGGCATGGGGTCTGGCATACAGAGGCAGCACTACATTTTTACAGTAAAAGGGTTTTCTCTCGTCAAAAGTACTGAAAGTACCGGGTATTGTTGGAAAATCATTCCCCTGGTCAATTCATCATTCTCAAAGCACATGGAAATTCTAGATGTTCTTGTGAAAAAGAAATTCATCAAAAACAGAACTGGATCTATAAAATTCTTTCTTGGGTTTTGAGAGACATTTCATTAAATTTGGGGAGAGCTGCCATCTTTGCTAGGTTGAGTTTTCCAGAGCATTGATTTCTCCATTTAATTTAAAGTCTGATTTTTTTCATCAAAGTTTTATAGTTTTCAGCATACAAGTCCTATATGTTTTGTTAGCTTTACCCTTAGTTATTTTATTTTTTGAGCCATTGTAAATAGCATTATTTTTATAACGTTGGTTTCCATGTGCTCATTGCTAGTATATAGAAACATAATACCTTTTTATGTTGACCTCACCTCCTATCCTACAACCTTATTGAATCACTTTTTTAGTTTTAGGGTTGTATCTTTTTTTTTAAGATCCCTTAATATTTTCCAATTAGACAATCATGTCAGACAAGATAGACAACAAAGAAAAAGTAGGTATGAGCAAAGTGGGGAAAAAAATAGATAGGAAAGAAGACTGATTACCAAGCAAAACTTCCCATCAGTTATATGTAAACACAAGATTATTTTTAAAATTTAATGGAAAGGCAAAGGAACTATAATAGCTAAAACAATTTCAAAAAAGAAGAATAAAGTGTGAGGAATCGTTCTGCTCAATTTCAAGACTTATTAGATGGCTATAATGATCAAGACTGGGTAGTACTGTGGAGGGATAGACATATAGATCAATGGAACAGAGTAGAGAATCCAAATATAGACCCACACAAGTACAGTTAATTTATTTTGACAAAGGTACAAAAGCAATTCATTGGAGAGAGAATAGTTTTTCAGCCAACAGTGCTGGAGCAATTGAAAATCGACATGTAAAAATATAAAACGCATACCTATGCAAAAGTTAACTCAGGGTCATAGACTGACTTGTAAAATGTACTGGTACTATATAATTTTTATGAGAAAATGTGGGAGAAAAATCTTTGGGAGCTGGGGCTTGATGAAAGGTTCTTAGATATGCTATCAAAAGCATGATTCAGAAAAGGAAAATATTGATAAATGTGACTTATCAAAAAGTAAACACTTTTGCTCTGTGAAAGACCCTGTTGCAAGGATGAAGACACAAGCTATAGACTGGGAGAAAATATCTGCAAAACACATACCTGACAAAGGACTCATACCTAGAATATATAATTCTCAAAATGCAACTTTAAAAGACCAAGTGATCCAGATAGTAAATGGGTAAAAGCAACTAGAAATAGCCAAAATGTCCCTTAATAGGTGAATGGTTAAATAGACTGTGGTATATCCATACATGGAATGCTACTCAGCAATAAAAAGAAACTATTGAAACATGCATCAAGATACATACTATATGATTCCAGTTATATGATATTCTCAAATTATACAATTTTAGAGACGGCAAACAGATAAATAGTTGTCAAGGGTTAGAGATGGCTGTGTATATGTGTACAAACAGGGGTAGGGAAAGTGAGATCTTTGTATTTTGGAATAATGTCTTGATTGTGGTGGTGGTTACATGAACCTCTACGTGTGATGAAATGACAAAACTATACACATACATTGTACCAATGTCAATTTCCTGGCTTTGATCCTGTGTTATATAAGACATAACCATTGCGGGTGGGGGAGATACTGAGTGACGGTACACAGTTTCTCTCTGCTATTTCTCTAAATTCCCATGAATTTTTAATTTCAAAAAGAAAAAAAAAAGCCTGAGGGAGAATAACATCTGCTACCCAAATAAATGAACATTCATGATTTACAAAATAACACAGGAGTTCATTACATTAGCAATGAACATGTTTGTGGAGGAATGGGCTTTAACATTTATCTTACTATTGAGAAAACAATCTAAAGCTCAAACTTTAGCCTCAAAATGAGAAATGGAACTATGTTTCCTAAATTGCTCCAAAATTCTAAAATGAACTTTTATTTTGGAAAAAAAAAGTTTTCCCCTTATTATGGTTCAGAATATGGCCTGGATTGGAATGTAATTTAAATAGTGCTGAAGACAATATGGCACTATCAAATGAACTTCCTTCTTCATTACTATGAAGACACCAAGCTGAGAGTCTATGAGATGAGATTAGAAACACAAGAAATTTAATACATTCATAGTGTTATTTGAAATTGCTTCTCAAAAATATTTTTCATGTATAAATTCCATATAATTCATACAGAACAATCCAAACTTCAGTGATTTCCTACTCCAACATGAAGTGCTTTAAACTTATTTTGGTAAGAGATGTTAAAAATCACCATTAAAGAAAAAGGATTTGGGGCAGAACTGACTTCTTGGTCTCCCAACTTTAAAAGATTGAACCATTTTTCTTTTTAAATCACCCAGTTTCCCTGTAATCTACTTAGAACAAGATTCAGAAATAGCATATTTGACATTTCCTGTCTTTCTCATAATTCTATATTTTAAATGACCATACTAATAGAGATGTGCGTAAAGTATTGGGAAAAATTTAAAAACACAAACTTTGCAAAAGTTTAATTATGGAACTCTTTTCTAGAATTCGTGACCAAAAGGGGGGTTTTCCTATCCTCTGGGACATTTCTTAAAACAGTCCCAGGCCAGTTCAGGATACATCCTTCTGGTCCCAAGGGTGTAGGCTATTACTGCTTTTCCAGGACTTAAAAAAGGATAAGCGAAAGATAATAAAAAGGTCTAATGAGAAAAGTTACATGTGCAGTGTGATATGAAATCCTAACCTCTATTTAGCCTATTATCTCTGTTGGACTTTGAGGATGAAATTTTTCTGCTAGACAGGGGCAACCCCAAGATGAATCCATCAGAGCTTTTCTTAGCAATGGTCCACTATGTCTTGCTATCAGGAAACTGAGGATCTCAGTCAGATCTTACAGTCAGAAGGACCCATCTAGTCCATTTCATTTTACTGTGGGGTGACTGAGTATCCTAATTAATTCAATATTAAAGGTTCTACCAGTATATGTGGTCTCTGTATGCAGAATAAGACCAATCCTAATTATTAGACCTACTGGCCATGAAGATGTCACTCAGGATGGTCTTTCCTTTTAAGGCTGAATGATCCCTACTTCCATTATCACTTTTTCTAGTCGACATTTTTACTAATTAACCAGGCACACCCCCACCTGCATAAGAGCTTGAAACAGATAAGAGCCAACAGA